TAAGAAATTTAAGAGAGACTGGCGATCCACAGTGGGGACGAGGAATTTTTTTATTAATTCTAAATTACGTAATCGATCCGTAAATTAAAGTAAGTGTTTTTAAAGAACTTATAAAGGGAGGGCCCCTCCAAGTAGTGTACACAAAGATTTTGCATAACTTTAAATACATCCCTCGGTACCCTCAACTTTAACGTGACATTTTTTTGTCTTAGTTTTATGCTTCATTATGCTTAATGTACAATTGTTTAATATATGATTATTCTCTTTGCACCTTTTATTCTATCGATCCAAACAGTTGTATACATTTTGTGATTTTCACCGCTGATGAAAACTATGTAATACGCTATTGAAACGTTCGGTGTTGTTGGAATTGTTTTACATATACAGTTAACCTCTCCTGATTATTTTAATCTTTCACTGTAGCCAAGTGGCATGATGCAATATTCAAGTATTCGCGAGAAATTTACATCGAAAGTTTCTCGTGCGCCTTCTGCACTGGTTGCGGTAGAGAGAGAGAGCAAGCGAGGAAGGAACTTTTTTTATTTATTATATGACCTCTCTTGCTTCACTTGATTATTTGGTTCATTTAACGTTATTCGAGTAGAAACCACAGTTTTTTTTTCTTTTTCGATACGCAAGCCGCACGAGAAACTTTTGTCGCAAATTCCTCGCGAATACTTGAATATTGAGTCGTGCCACTTGCTTATATGAATTAATATTGAGGTTAAGTACTGAAACATATTATAAAGTTGGGCGAAATCCGTGTGTACACTACTGTCTTTCTCTTGTTAGAAATTGGAAATTTTGTAAGACGGATCGATATAAAAAAAAAAAAGAAAAAAAAAAGATCTCGAAGGAAACTAAGACATAAGACTAAACTTAGACTTAAGAGTTTAATTAAATTAATCGATCCCCCCGAAAGAGATGGAATTTGTTATTCGAGAGTTTAAGAAAATAGGAAATTGTTTGAAGAATTCCAAATGAACACGTCTACAACTTAGGGATTGAATTTCCAATTCTAAGCGTTCTATTTACATCCGAGGAAGATGCAGTTTCTCGACACAATTTTCGAGCATCTAAGATTTCCAGGTGCAAAAAAGTAAGAGATTTGGCTCTCCTGAAAATCCAGGATTCCCGGACTGGAGGGATCTAGGTGGATTCGACCGAATTGGGATCGAAGGCATCTGTCATGACTTACCCAGAATACCGAGTCTATAGTTGATGGTGACGACGACGACGCCCCCGTAACTTGCCAGGACGCTGCCGTCGTAAGGATTTCCGCTGCTCCATTCGTAGCTCTCGCCATGCACGAACACAATCACAGGATACCTTCTGCCGCCACCGTCCCTCGCGCCAGCTGTAATCAATAAAATTATCCTGTGATCGATCGACAGTCTCGACACCTGATAGTTCACGTCTCACGGCCTTAAAAGGTCATTTTTCAGTCTTTTAAGGTTCTACGAAGTTTTGACAGTCGGGTAAAGAATTACCATGTTCTGAAGAAATGCAAACTTTACGTATCAGCAATCGAACGGTCATATCCTTTAAGTTGTAAATTATCGCGCATTCGAAAGCGCGCAATTTGCAAATAGACACGCCTGGTGATAAAAACAGGAACGTATATTTGAAAAATGTTTAATGCACAGGAAAGAATTAGAATTCCGTTCGAGAATTTCGTCGACGAATAAATACACGCACGACAAATCGATAAATAACACTTTCGATAAAATTTCATTTTTCTTAAATTAATATATAACAGGGCATTTTCCGTCGTATTTTTTGCGCTGATGTGTTTCAAATTTGTTTGCCAAATTTATGAGGAGAGCAGAGTTTATGAATATAACATGCGTTTAAAAATCTCTTCTGCTTAGACATAAATAAATGATTCATAGGAAACAGCTATTGAATTTAACATGATTTTCTATTCACATTTTATAAAAGATTTCGAACCAAAATAAATCATTTCAATTAAAAAAAAAAAAGGCTGCACGACGAATTGTTGTTAGTAAAATTAATAAGTTTTTAAAAAGAAGGATATTATATTGTGATCAACAAAAAGTTGAAGTTTGTAGAATAAATTCTAATTCATTTTCTAAATCAACTTCAGAAGATACATAAAGTGAATAGTAAAATATTATATATAAAAACAAATAAGTATTTATTGAATAATAAATAAAAATCAGTGGTAAAGATTTGTAATTTAATGTATAATATTATTTTAAAAATGTCCGTATGTCAAGTACGTAATACGCGAAGGATTTCGATGCTCATTCGAGTTCTACACCTAATGGACAAGCTGTGCGTGTTAGGCGACGTGTCGCCTATCGCTTTTGATGTAATTAAAACAAGCGGCAGCGGTGACTCGTACACACGAAAGGGGTGCGTCAATCTGATTTGCCATGGTAATGCCGGAAGGGTGAACACGCGAGGGTGATCGCTGCGGCCAGACCGAGCACCGGTCATAATTCAACAAATCACGCGTCATCATCCTCGCGATAACGGCCCGCATCACGATCACCCTGTTGCCTTCTACATCCCTTTCTACGGCCCTCGTGAAAATGCAACGATCCCACGACGTGTCTTATCGATTAGTTCGTAATCGGTACGTACGATTTTGCAAATAACACTGTTACCATTTTTATTTCCGAATTTAACTAGATTTATGAAAAAAATATATTCAGATTAACTCCGTGTTCTTTTTCATTTTAACGGTAGCCGCAATTGAAAATGTATATATAATCTCAGAGCTGGCTTCATACAGCCTTCCAGGTTTGAAATATTAAACTGCAACAAATATTTAATCAAGGCTCGAAAAAATTTAATTTAATTTAATTTAATCTTTCCCTTTTAAGATTTATTTTCTAGAATTCTTTAAAAAAACCACTCCAGGTAATAACGTAAACTCTTTCGCGAGATATTACGTAGGGAACGAGATTTTGATATTCATTTGCACTCTTGAGAGTTAATTTGCGAAACGAATCTTGCAAGAATGAAGCGCGTCGCGGAAAATGGACAGTGTGATTGGGGGAGTAAACGGCCGCTTGATTGACCGGCCGTGCTAATTAAGTGACCGTCCAGAACGATGATGATTCGGCGGCGAAATTAATTAATGGACCGCAACTACGCCGGCTAATTATTATTTTCATTATCGTCCTTGTAGCTTCCTCACGTGCTTCCTAATTGGCGCCTCCACCGATTGCTCGAAATACACGTCCCCAGATACATGTTATCCCATGCTAAAGCCCATTTTATACGGCTATACGAATTCACAGGAGAATTCTGTTACTAATTGTCTACATGTAACATCTGAAGTTCCGAAACCAACTAATTTCTTGCAATTCTTTTTGAATTCCACAAAATTTCTGTTCATTCATCGCTCACCACCTCAGTTTGTGATGTCAGGTCAGAGTTAGCGAAAAAGTATATAATAAAAAACATTGCAAAATATATTAATATGAAATATTATATGTATTTTAATAAAACAATATTTGCAATCGACAGTAACCATATGTACCGGACATTTTTCTTTTGTGCCGTTAACTGATAAATATAATCATATATCCCGAAATTAATTATTTATAAAAAATAAAATAAGCTGTGTTTACAGTTATAACAAATTGTCAAAATAATAATATGGAAATAAATACGATTTTACCTTTTTCCAAAACAAGAAGATAGTTTTTGTATAAGTTTCTTTTATCGATAGTAAATATTATTTTTATTGAAAAATATTTCTCTTCAAATATAACTTTTTTTTGAATTTTTAGTGTGTGTTTTCTGGCTTGTATGACAATCAGCAATAATAGTGAATGAATAGGAGTCTTAATATATATTTAAAGAATAAAGAGTAAAGAATAAAGTTTGCTTTGATACTTCTAAACGTTATCAACATAACTGATTATCAATGTTGTATATATTAAGTTTTGTATAAATTATAATTTCAAATCTTTAAGAGCTTTTTTAATGCCCTTTTTATCTTTTATAATTCTTAGAACTAAGAAAAGACGAAGAGTAAATTGAATTGAGAGTTAAAGTTAATCTACATTGGTGAAAATGGGCATGGAAGTAGAAAAATTTAACAATATCCGGAGCTTTAAGGTTCTTCGAGAGCAACAAATACGAGAATTCAAAATTTACGATATTTGAGAATAAAAATTGGAATCCGAGATAAGAAGATCTAACAAGGAATCTACGAAAGGGGAAATACGTGCGGTTTATCTGCAAACGCCAATTTTCGATATCAAATCCGTGAATCCGGAATTTCGGAGTATTGAAGGATTTCGCAATCGCAGCACTGCATTTCTTCGTAAACAAAGAATAAGAATCTCATTTCTCCGTTGCGGAAGGGAAAATTGGGATTTCAACTTATCCGGCCTCGTGGCGGCCGCGATACATTATTTCAGCCGTGAATAAATTTACAAGCGCCCTGTCAATATTTGATGCGATCCACAAACAATTTGCTGGGGCGCCTCTAACGGACTTTACATATTCATAAAGCGGTACTCCGTAGTTTGATATCGTGGATGGTAAACGAGAACTACCTACGTTCCCGTTAGATCGCTTTATTTTGCAAACTCGATATTGCATCCGCCTTCTTAGTAACGCTTCCTTCAACTCTCTTGAACTCCTGGCAAATACCGCTAAATAAGATAGAAGCTAAATAAGATAAAACCTTGCGCATTTACGCGGGAATCGAAATTGTACCTTTCCTAATATCTCCTAGCTCGACTTTGTCATCGAGATGTAATTTTAATTCTCGTTGTCATTCTCTGTTGTAGCATTTGAAAATGCAAGAGCATCAAAAGAGAGAAATTTTTTATCTAATCAAAATATTAAAATTCAATTTTTTTCAATTAATCAGATTAAATAAACATCGAAATTTCGTTAAATTTAGATTTTTACTGTCACAATATCTGATATCTTAAATTGAACGGATTTAAAAAATAAAATTTTCATTTCATGCCAATAAGTTATGTATATAAATATGACACACTGAAAAAAAGAAATCTTAATTTTAAAGAAATATTTCTTTGTTCGAATTAAAAAAAAAATTATTTCGGACATTCGATTGTGTTTAATGTCCGAACATTTCAGCGCGTAATCACATTTGATTTTAAATTTTAATTAAGAGTATACATATATTATATTCATAACATCTAACTTTGACCGATTATTAATGTCCTCTATCATATTTATGTATGTCATTTACACGATCGTACTTATTCCAATAAGTTATTTCTACGCAATGGTATAAATATGCGAGTATTAAATGTTCGTTTGCCACGACAATTAGAAGAATATTCGTTTTCTTAAATTTCTTTTTATCTAACTTAATCTCTAATCTTATTTTTAACTCTCCTACATTTCGTTCTTTTGAAATATTACATGTAGACAGAGAAAAAGGAAAGGAAGAAAGAAAATGTAGACAGAGAGAGAGAGAGCTGAAAAGGGTAGAGTTAACGTCGGGGGTTAAACCTACACAATGATGCGCAGCAAAGTCGGGTGCAACTGCAGTGCAGCGCACTTTATCGCATCGTCCTGTGAGTTACAGTGATACAGGCAGGATTACGGTGTACAGATAAGGATGACGACGGTGCGGTTATCACGGCTGCATTCATTGCTTGTATTCACAGTAGAATCGCCGCGGTAAAAGCTTGCATACAGTCCAAGAGCGACGTGCACGTCGTGGATACGCTCGCCTTATTAGAGACGTCCTCATGACTCCTCTGTGTGGCCACTCAGGACACAACGACGTTTATTGTCCTCATAAATCTTATCATTCCCGTTCTCCCGAAATTCCTTTGCAGTATAATTGTTTGCTTTAGGTAAAGAGACCCCGACAACTTGTAAAGATAGAAAAGTTACGAATTCGAGAAACAAGACAGGGAGAGATTGAAAGATTAAGATACAATAAAGGACAATGAGAAGACTTTAGAATGAATGTATATGAATGAGAATTAAATAATTTCAGAAATTAAAGGATGCGAGCAAAAGAGTGAGAATTAAATTGAAAATAAATGACTGATTTCAATAGTAATAAAAGAATAAGGTATAAGAGGATTCTCAACAATGCATATTAATTTTAAATATTCAAGTTACAATCAAAAGTTGAACAATTTTGCAACTTAATGCAGTAGAAAGCGTTTTATTTGTTATTATAAACGATCCATTAAAGTCCTCATTATTTTGTAATGAATTTTTAATAAATCTGTATTAATTCAACATATTATAATATGTCATTGTACGTCATGAATATTTTGGATTAAGTTCATATTTAACATGTCTTGTGTCGAAACACACAATTTATGAGTAAGTGAACAAATAAAAATGATTTTAAAACGTAACTAAATAAATAAA